GGTTCCACGGGAAGATCTCAGGGGTGGAGGCGGTGCAGGAGCTGCAGCCTGCCGAGGATGGGCTGTTCCTGGTGCGCGAGTCTGTCCGGCACCCTGGTGACTACGTGCTCTGCGTGAGCTTCGGCAAGGAGGTGATCCACTACCGCGTGGTGCACGAGGAGAACACGCTCAGCATCGACAACCAGCAGTACTTTTCCAACCTCATCGACATGATCGAGGTGAGACTCCCCGGACAGTGAGCCCCGCCAGCGCCAGACCGAGGGCAAGAACCTCATGGATCACACAGAGCAGTGGCAGATCCCTGTCCCTTTCTCCTGTGGTTTTCATTGGGTTTTGTTACCTGATGTAATTCCCTGCCAAAGACTTGTGGTTCCCACTCAGTTTGGGGTGCAATGGACAGATCTGGGATGCCCTGGAGACGTCGTCTCCTGCGAACCAGCCGTGCCGGCAGCAGCCCCAGTCCCCTGCCCAGGGCCACGTTTCCCCCCATCCTGCTCGTTCGGTGCTTCATGCAGTAGCGGGGCTTAGGGCATTTTGGAAAAATGCTTCTGCCACCCCTGGACCCTGAATGAGGTCTGAGCCCTGCCGAGGCTTTGAGGCGTTTTGCCGCGTTTCTCTCCCCTCCAAGCCCCCCTCTCGCCTGCTGACCCTGCGGGGCTCCCGGTCTGCTGCGTTATCTCTTGCCCTTCCAGCGAGCTCTTCCTCAAGGTCCATCTTTGCCCTGTCTCGTGGCTGCTGCCCGTCTCCTCTCTGGGGTGTTGCACTCTCATATGTTGTCCTCATTTAGACACAACTTCTGCTTTCGGGTGGGTCCTTTCCCCTTTCAGCTGCCCTGGCCCTGGTCTGTAACCGCGATGGCCGTCCCACCGCTTCCGCTCCATGTCGCCTCTGCAAACCGCTCTCGGCTGCTGCAGCGCCCGTCGGGGTTTTTAACCCCATCGGCTGCCATCCAGCTCACTGGTAGCATCCTGTATCACCCGTGGTCCGTCATGGTGCTTCCGTGGCTGTGCCTGAAGGGGAGCAGGGCTGAGATGGGGGCTGCAAATTGCAGCACTGGGGGAAACGCGGCGTTTTGCACTGCCCGAGCTGAAGGGGCTCCAGGTGCCTCGAGGGTGGTGGGGTCCTGTGCAGTATCCCGCGGCCGTGTCCTGGCTCCACGCCCCAAGCCTGGGGGTAAGAGGTGGCATCACCACATCGCCTCCGTCTGCCCATTCCTCGGCAGCACTACATGAAGGAGCAGGGAGCCATCTGCACCAAGCTGGTGAAGCCCAAACCGAAAACTGGGATGAAGTCGGCTGAGGAGGAGTTGGCCAAAGGTAGGGGATGGCAGGAGAGGGTTGTGGTCTGGGTTTTGGGGACAAGGCAGCATGGCCCATGCAAACTTGCCCTTGTGCCCATGCCCAGCTGGCTGGTTGCTGAACCTGCAGCACCTCACGCTGGGAGACCGCATCGGGCAAGGCGAATTTGGAGGTAGGTGAGAAGATGGGTTTGGAGGTTCCCTGGTCACGGGCTTCCCCAAATGGCACCCCCTGACATCCCCTCCCCATCCCGTGGCATGGGGGGCTCAGCCTGAGACGCAGGGGGTCAGGTGTGGGGCTGAGCCTGACCCCCTGCATCCCCTCCCAGACGTCCTACAGGGCGAGTATATGGGGCAGAAAGTGGCTGTGAAGAACATCAAGTGCGATGTGACCGCCCAGGCCTTCCTTGCCGAAACGGCTGCCATGACGTGAGTGCCCCATGGGGACATACGGCCCAACCCTGCCCCGTGACCCAGGGATGAGCAGGTACCCCCTTGACTCAGATCCCCTCCATTTCAGGAAGGTCCGGCACAAAAACCTGGTGTGTTTGCTCGGCGTGATCCTGCACAACGGCCTCTACATCGTCATGGAGTTCATGAGTAAGGTGAGAGCACCTGGCCAGTCCTTGGCCAGCGGGACCCATGGCCACTCAGATTTGGGGGCAAAATCCCCGACTCGGGGCTGGGTTGGACAGATGCCAGTTGCTGCAGCCCCTGCGGGAGGCAAAGTCTCTGAGCAGCCCTGTCCCATTTGTTCTTACATGTTTCTCCTCTGTCAGGGCAACCTGGTGAACTTCTTGCGCACACGGGGCCGGGCACTTGTCCCGACCCAGCAGCTCCTCTTGTTCGCTCTGTAAGTCCATCTCCCTCCCTCCGGGCAGGGGACCAGTGCTCTGTGTCCCCCCGGGCAACCCCGGGGGACACGCGGTGACACTGCGCTCTGCCTCGCTCGGCCGTGGCAGGGATGTGGCCCAGGGCATGGACTACCTGGAGTCCAAGAAGCTCGTGCACAGGGACTTGGCTGCCCGCAACATCCTCATCTCCGAGGAGAATGTGGCCAAAGTGAGCGATTTCGGCTTGGCCCGGGTCAATCCCAAGGGTGCAGACGCCACTTTGCTGCCCGTGAAGTGGACGGCCCCGGAGGCCCTGAAACATAACGTGAGAGATGGTGGGAAGGGAGGGGGGGCTGGGGCGTCCTCCTGAAGCAGCTCGTCCCCTTGGGTCCCCCCTGCTCGTCCCCCCCTCCTGCCAACCCGTCCCTGCCCTGTGGTGGCTTCTGGCACATTCAGCCCTGCATCTCCTGAAATTC